CTAAGGTTTGGCAAACACAAACAGTTGAATTCTCAAATGGTCTCAGACTTTATCTATAAATTATTTTCTGTCAGTAGTCAACTATTGTTTCATTAACTGGTGAAGCTTTGCAAATCCTTTCAGCCTATCAAAATATCCCTAGAGTTCAGTCTTTACCGACATCTTTTGCATCATTCACTAACTTTCTGAATATAAAAGTGCCTTAAAATCTCATAAACTTACTACAGTTGTTATCATGGGAAAAAAAAAGAGAGTCAGTTTTAGTGTTGACTGACTCTATCTGAGACTTCAGCTAGGATTTATAGCAAGAACTAGATCGTAAAATATATTCATTCTAGTTTTAGAAATACAAGTCACATATACACACGATGAAAATATGGCCATTTGCTTCCTCCATTGGGTAGCAACCATCACGAGCTTTCACACATACTCTGCCAAATACAGCAATCTTAAAATACATTAAGCACAGGGAAGCAGAAGTTTTTGAACACAGGAACAGAAAAATAACTTGGCCCAATAAAAAAACATTTTGTACTAGTTTGGTGCCGTTCTAACTTTTACCTCAGAGGGAGTTATCAAACTCATTTTACTTTACTTTATTCTTGTAAGGCCTAGTGTTACATTGTAGACTTACAGCTGAAGATGTTCTCGTCATAAGATTAAGCTTTGAATTGCATTCTTTCTAGTTAAGTTTATTTTCATAAACAGTACTAAAACAGTTTGATACATTTCTACTAGTATTATAATTAACGACGCATACATGTTGCGAATATTTAGAGTTGAAATTCGCCCTATTTACGTATATTTTTCTTTAAGAATAATGATTTTAATTTTAAGGTGCTTACGCTCCATGTTACAAGTTTATTTAACACAAATTTCAAGTTTTCCATAATTGGTGATTTGTTGAAAGAAGTGTTCCAGTAAACTACTTCGTCAGCGTTTTGCGAATTATTTGTAAGACTGGGGATTCAACGCTCCATGTTACAAGTTTATTTAACACAAATTTCAAGTTTTCCATAATTAGTGATTTGTTGAAAGAAGTGTTCCAGTAAACTACTTCGTCAGCGTTTTGCGAATTATTTGTAAGACTGGGGATTCAACGCTCCATGTTACAAGTTTATTTAACATAAATTTCAAGTTTTCCATAATTAGTGATTTGTTGAAAGAAGTGTTCCAGTAAACTACTTCGTCAGCGTTTTGCGAATTATTTGTAAGACAAACCATAATTCATATACTTATTTGGACATGGGCAGGTGGTTAGGGCGTTCGACTGGCAATCTGCGGGTCGCGGGTTCGAATCTCTCGTGTAGCTTAGCGCGAAATGCAAACAAACTTTTCATTTATGACGCACATTTTTACGATAACGCTGATTTTAATAGCAACTTGTTTTTAATATCTTACTAAATCAATATCGTCTGAAGCGAAAAGGCTTACTTCAGAAGAATGGGCCGCCATATGTGACTGCTTGATATTCAGTAAAATATATATATGAATAGCTTCAAAAATAATGTGCAGAATTCAGCGTGATATTGAGTAATGCTATCTTGCTCTAATGGGCGACTAATGCGCACGCATTAGTCATCTTCAAGTGCTGATCGTAGACGATTTATTTTTTATAGTGACTTTGTCGCAATGAACAGGCAAGAAATCTGTATTTTGATGGAGTTGAGAAATATTAACAAATTATTTTTCTTCAATCAGAAGGAAAGTACGAAATAATAGTTTTTTTTCCCGAAAATAATGGAAATTTTATGCGGTTTACTATTAAAATGGACTATATAATTCGATATGTAAATTTTTCTTTTGCATAATACATGATCCCCTTTTTAGATTCGTTTTTTTCACGTTTTACAGAGAAAAATCAAAACTAATATCACTCCCATTTTTCTTATTTTACATTTGTTACCACTTATTTTTACTTAAGTTTAACGCTTCATTTCGTCTAACTATTTACATTTTCTACAATTCTACTGTTCTGTTTCCGTCTCTCTTTGACTCTGTATACACGTCACTCTGAACACAGTAGTGAGTTCCTGATTGGTCAGTTTATTTAACCGTCATGACTTCTATGTTCAGTCTTGAAAAATTTATCAGTTTTTTTTATACATTATTTTTTATTTGCGCAAAATTAGCCGCCCCTAATTTAGAAATGATAGACTAGAAGAAAGGCAGCTAGTCAAAACCACCCACCGTCAACTCTTGGGGTACTCTTTACCAACGAAAAGTGGGATTGACCTTCACTATATAACGCCCCCACGGCTGAAAGGACGAACATGTTCGTGTTTTATTATTTAGTTTACCTTCTTCGCCACTTAGAACATGCGCACGCGTATAGTCAGTTACCAGAGAAAACCTTACATATTCACTTATCGAAGCCAGAGTTTTAACGAAAAGTATATAATAAACCATTTTAAATAATAAAACGTTAAAAAGCATACTATCAACTGATGGCGTCTTCCTCGAAAACTTATATTATGTAGCATCGTGGTACTAGACTTACTTCAGGCGGTGGCATAGACTAAAAATATGTTCTTTATTTATGAATAAATATTTCTGATTCTTAAAGTAAATGTTCTGGTAATACTAATCCAGTTTCTGCAGTTATCTGTAGCTGACTTAATTTCGAAACATTACATAAATGTTCTGGTAATACTGATCCAGTTTCTGTAGTTATCTGTAGCTGACTTAGTTTCGAAACATTACATAAATGTTCTGGTAATACTGATCCAGTTTCTGCAGTTATCTGTAGCTGACTTAGTTTCGAAACATTACATAAATGTTCTGGTAATACTGATCCAGTTTCTGCAGTTATCTGTAGCTGACTTAGTTTCGAAACATTACATCAGTATTACCAGAACATTTATGTAATGTTTCGAAACTAAGTCAGCTACAGATAACTGCAGAAACTGGACAGAAACTGGATCAGTATTACCAGAACATTTACAGTTATCTGTAGCTGACTTTGTTTCGAAACATTACATAATAAAAACGATGTAGGCTTTATGACAAATGTTAAAGCGAGTTGGTGAGTTTTTTTTTTTTTAATGATAAATTTCACGGTACTAAAAGGTATCCCATAATTATCGGATTATGATTATAGAAATATTTAATAACCACATTAATGATGCTTTTGAACATCTTAGAAAAGAACCATATTGATTAAGCCGTATGACGACGCAAAATCCGGAACACAGTATAGGATTTGGATAGCTTATACAGAGTAAAAAGTTAACGCCCACAGTAAACACCTTTCTACAGTTAAAGCCTTATGTCTTTATATATAATTATATTTTCATCATCAAAACCTATAATGACAAGTGTATTTATTACAGAAAAACGTCCCCATTACAAATTCAGGGTGCACACATACAGTGTGGTATGAATTTTATTCTAGAAATATAACGTTGAGCTCTTTTAATGTTATTACTTATGAAATATTTATAAATATGCGGCTGTCTATTTTTATTTTTAATTCGTGCACATATATTTTTGAATAAGTAGTCCCAACAGTGGGACTGTGCTTTTAACGTATACGTTTTTATGTCAAATATATATACACATATATAAAAAGTGCACATGCAATCTACGAGAGCATAATGTCGTTGAGTAGTCTTATTCTTTTATATAAAATACTTTGTTTCATATGACAGTTAGGGGATATCATCAAAGTGTTATTAGGGCCCTCAAGAATACCCATTTGTCACGAGTTACCCAGCACATATGTAGAAAAACAGTTTCTGAAGGATACCAACAAGTTCACGAATATAAAGGACAATGACGTTTAGAAGGAATTACTTTAAATAGAACACGTCATTGGTGTGTACCCTTGAATGTTGTCTAACCATCTACTAAACATAAAAACGAGTGGAGTTTCAAAATGAGGAAAATAAAACTAAAAAGTAACATATATATTGATTATATAACAGAAGTTCAAAATGTTTTGTCTAATCAAGTTCTCTATTACACAACTTGACATATGCGACACTCATCTCCTGATCGACAATTCAATATAAAATAGACGAAGAAGAAAAGGACACCGAATTAGGCCTAGAAAAATCTAATTCTAATTTAACAAAAATTAGTGGAATATTTTTAGAAGAATTTAAATTATTATTTTTCTTCTTTTTTTGCGTAAATCTACAAAATGGGCTATTTGCGGAAAACATAACCCCGGATTTTAGCGCTGCAAATTCATAAACTTATCACCCACATATATGTCAATGTGACATTTAAGCCTATTACGTCCCTAGTGAAGTTTTAAACGCATTTAAGCACTAAATAAAACTCTAAAAAGGGCTATAACGTCCTTTCTAGATTTAAAAGTAAATAAGTGAACGAAAAACTTTGTTTATCATACAAACATGACACAGTACAAATTAAAAACTGCCCATAGTGTTACGAACGTGTTCTCCTATGCATTTCAAGTTCATTATACCATATAAACTGAAAAAAATAATACAGACTATTAATTGTTAAAAAAATATTAGATATCCATTTTTTTACTAATATATATATATATATTAGCTTATGTACCCGTTTAACAGGCGGGGAAGACATAGGGCCTCCAGAGGGGGACATTAGAGAATCAGATCCGAACGTCGACAATCCTATGTCACTCCCTTGTGCCCTAAGGGTACATTCCAGGTTTGATGAGAATCGGTCCAGCGGTTCGCCAGTTATAAACGGACACATAGAAACTCTTGTCAAATAATAGTTGAGGTAAAACCCCGACTCTTTTTACTGTGCTCAAAGGGAAACATTTTTAACAATTTGAACTATTTTTTTGTCAGTTGGTCAACATTAATTTTATCTTAGATATGTTTACGGATTTTCATTTACAAAACCAGCACCGTGAAAAAATGTGATCCCTTTTGTTTAAGCGTTTGATAGGTTTATTGTAAATGGTTCTAACATTAAGTAACTCCAGGAAATAGTACTTAAAATAACAGCAGCCTTACTCGTTCAACAGTTTTACCTTCTTTATTAATGCCAGTTATACCTTCATGAAGTACAATACTCTTTTAATGTATAATTTCTCTTTTATGAAGCATTTGAAGATCATTGTAGATGAATCAAACTTTGACTCTCTTCAGGAAATAGAAACAACATTTGTTCATTCAATTTTCTATATATAGTACAAAGAAAAAAATAGTCGAGCAAGTTTTCAAGGTTTATCTGCAAACATTCACTGGTTATAGTTACAGATGTTATGCGCTGGTTATCAAACTAGAAAATGTTATTTACAAACACAAATAGTAAAGCACCATTTTTGGGTAGTGTCTTTCCTGTTTCGAGGTTTGTGGAGAGTCTGGAACCGTAACATAATTTTTCCATTAAGCATCTTACTTATTTCCATCCGGTTGAAACGTATTTCATAGTTGTTTTCTTTAGCGTTTCCTTGCTAGACAGACCCTTCTGATGTTGAAATAGAAAGATTCGATAAGCTAGAACCTTTTCCTTGATGTGACACGAATTTTTTGTTGTACAGTTGCCATGGTAGCTAATCCTACTGGGCATAAACATCTTCGTTATTTGAATTTATCTGTTTCTGCAGAGAAAAATTTCAACCAGATGTAAAACGAAAAACTTCATTTAAAAATAAACAAGAGCTTGCAATAATTAGGTTTTTTTAAAGATCTAACGACAATTCCCTTAGAAAATTCGAATTACTATAACTTGGTGAAAATTTAAAGCTCCATTTAGCTAACAAGACAACTGATTTTATCGTAAATATAATAAAAATTACAAATTAGAGGAAATAACACTGTTCTTGCGTATTTAAAAAAAAAGATAAAATACTAAGAGTTTGTTTGTTTAAATTTAAGCACAAAGCTACACAATGGGAAGTCACGGGCATCGAAACCCGGTCCTTAGCGTTGTAAAGTCCACAGACATACCGCTATGTCACTGGGGGCAAGAAAACAACATCAACAGGAGTTCCTTCGATTCGAAAATAATATCTCTATTTCATATGCTAAGAGAAAAATACTTGGGATAAACCCTTACAGATACAATAATGACCAAAAAAATAACAAAGGTTATTAAAATAAAAGTAATGAAAAGCACAACCAATGCAATAAATGAAGATTATAAACAAATTTATAAAATAAGGTTATGCGTACGTGTTGATCAGTATAAAGTGGACGTTCTTGTATGTTGTGATCCTCAAATCTCATACGACGATTATCATAAACTCCTAATAAAGTAATTTTCAGATTTTTTTTGGGATGATCAGAACAAGTGAAAACAGCATCTTGTAGCACTGTGTTCGGGTGATCGTTTCGAGATTCTTCAACCTTCTGATCTTCAGGTTCATTCTTCGCCGAATGAGGGATAACATCTTGGGCGGTATTCTCTTCTGATATGTAACTGAGTTCACTACAAAGGTTAGACCTGGAAGGAGAGCCCTCCCTCCAAGAAACATTTGGACATAGGCGGTTGGAGGAAGTCCCTGTCACCTGTACTTTGTCTGGGGTTATGATAAATTTGGAAATCTCTTGTCCCTGTGATAACGTATGGAGACGTATGCTAGGTACTGTCTGTATGGAGAAAGATACGTAAGTGTACGTTAATTGCCGTATTACAAAATTAAACTCAATTTAATATTTCACATCATTACATACACACTATTAGGGACAAAGAGTTACTGATCGGGAAGTTTAAGTGTATGTACGCACGTGACTCTGGGGTTAAATGGGTTTACAATTTATGTTACTGATAATGTTTGTTAACAGAAAAAAAAATTTTCACTCAAATTCTCTGCTTCGACGACCTTTTATTATTTTTATTTTTTCGTAAGGTGGGAGGATACAGAGATCACTTGATTGTGGTCGGAACTTTCTTTGTATTTCTTATTTCTAGCCTTGCTCAGCCAAAAGTTCCAGACAAACATAACATATTTTGTTATTATTTTTTGTGGGTAATTCAGAGTTGAGTTCTTGTAGAGAAGACTTTTCGATCTCGCTTATCATACACTTGTTATTTTACTTAAGAGAATGTAAGATTGGTCTTTGTTTACATGCATGTCTAGTTTTCGTGGTTATGTGACGTGTTTCTGTAGCTTTAATTCCTCCTTCATTTCGTGTGACTATTGACTTTTTCAACACCCTTTTTGTTCTGTACGTATATACGTCACTCTGAACATGATAATCATTTCCTGATTGGTCAGTTCATCTTATTGCCATGAGCACTATGCATATTATTCTTATTATAATACTATATAGATTTAAAAACATTTAAAATTCATACCACGCATATTTTCAAAAAATTAAACTTTTTTATTACACTAAGCTCTGAGTAGTTTATGTGATACAACTGTTTTAGCAGTGAAAATAGACGTAGTGTTTCTGATGTTGAATATGTATATGATTCACGTTTTAAAATTCTTGCATTTGTTGCTGTTACGCCATTTAGGTAGGACGTGGGAGCAGATACCCCAGATTGTAATAATATTTTTTCATTTTTGGAACAATACATATGAACATACATATATATATATATAATGTGTAGTTTGCATTATTTAAACGGTTATTGAATATTGTAGGATATGATCAGTGGAAATACTTCCAAAATAGAATGATTTCTGCATTTTAGCCTATCTTCTCTGGACATCCAATAAAAGTTGCTCCTCCTTTGAAATCTAAAATGGCGGTCCTGAGTTATCATAATAAAATTTCGTATCTTTTTTTTTTCCACACTAAACAGAAGTACCTTCTGTCTTGGCATTATTTAGTGAGTAAGTATCTAAACAATGAAACAATTCATACAATATATAGTAATAGGAGTTCTGTAATCTTTGCTATGTATATTATGTATATATTTTAAAGAGAGCACATAAAATATTTTATTTCTGCGGTTGTGAAGATTGGATAATTTAGATATTGTTGCTTAGGCTCTTCACCAGTTTCAAACATTAATTTGATCAGATATTATTAAACGTATGTTATCATTCTAAACTTCTTACTAACTGCACTCGTATGATGTGTTTCATCTATTCTATTTTTGGTTAACAGTTTAAATTAAAATCACCTAATTCTAAATCTTTAAGCATTCGCGAGGTAGCGCAACAAGCTTTAATTTAAGTGAGAAAAACGTTAAATAGCATACAATTATGGCTCTAGCAAATCATCATATCAAAGCCCATAACCCGATATCTTCATCATATACATGTTGATGCTCATTTGCGTTTGGTTGAAAAGTATTTGAATCCTTCAAAACAAACTAAAAACCTCTCCACTACTTGGAAAATTCTTTTTATTTTAGTAATTTATATTGCATGAGTAATTTTAGAGTAATATTGCATGAGTAATTTTAGAGTAATATTCCGAAACAATTCTAACCTTCTTATTTTAAAAATAATTCTTCGTAATTCATAAATTCATATATTCTTGGTTGATAAACAAACAAAGGCTTACCCGACTAATTGTTGTCTGTCCAGGATGGCCTCTACCAGCCAAATATTCTTGATACTGGGATACCACACACAGAATGCAATATACCTGTTACCAGGGTGAAAGTTTATTATGTATTCGAAACAAATGAATATCGAATCAAGGCATCTTATGATGTGCTTTTAAAATGTATACACGTGTTTTAGTCATCATTCCTTCATTGCAGTATATTTTATGTTAAAACTTGGAAAGTCCATTCCAGTGAATACCCACGACTCGTACGATATTAAAATCTGGTTCACGAGTTTGAAAAATAAAGATTAAATTATAAGAAATTGAATAGTATCAATTTTTACATCTATATATATATAAAATATAAAAAACTTAACTCTCTGACTCACTTTTAACTATCTAATTAAGAGATAAGCTATTCTGCACAAGTAATAAAACAATCGTAATAAATTAAAAAAACAGTTAATAAGCATAATGAAGTACTTTATTTTTTTTGGGGGGGGGGATATACTATGTATTTCGACGGAACGTTAGTCTGTTTTCTTCTTCGAAACATGTATGTTTCCCTCAAAATAAACCACTTCATTGTGCTTATAAGTCGTTGTTTGTCAGTTTAATATTATATTAAAATAATAACTTTACACACAAAAATGATAAAACAACAGTTTAAAAAATGATTGATTTCAGAAGTAAAAAACAAAATCATAATACTTTTCAGAATTCTAATCTATTTGATGAAGTATAAAGTTTTTATCGTTGCTGATAGGCATGTTTGATAAGTACTGAATTACTCACATTTAAAGCAAAAATTAGAAAATCCATCAGCAAAAATACCGGCAATAATGAGTGGAATTTCTGTATGAAAAGACAAATGAAAAACATAGAAAAATAAATGAAGTTCTATTTCATCAGTTATTAAGTTCATCAGTTAAGTTCTTCGTATTTTATGTTTACATAAGTGTCTTGTTAGGAAACGGTATAGTTAGCACGACGTTATTATATTTTTTGTAAATTACGAAATCAAATCTTTGTTCTATATTTCTTTTATAAACAAACAAAACTGTATATTTAACATTTTACATATGTAAAATATAAAATCGTACCGTTAATTATTATTTTTTCATTTGTAAAATTAGACATGAAAACCATTTGTGTATTCATTAACATCTCCAAAATATCAGTGTTAAATAAACGTATTGTTGCTCAGTACATTAAAGTACTTGTTTATTAAACTTAATAAACCTATTAAAAGTTATGTCCTACAACAAGATGGTTCAACGACAAACACCAATTTTTAACCCTCTATTGCATGAAAATACAGTGGAAACTTTTTTTCCTTGAATTTCTTATTTAAATATATCTATACTTCACAAAAGTGTTTTTTTTAAAATAGATTTTGGTAAGTTATAAATGGTTATGTTACCTAGAAGTAACATTATTTGTTGAGGACCTAACAAAAATAATACCATGGTTTATTTAGACTATTAACTGGAAGTAAGAGCATACAACTACAGATCCGAAGCATTTGAATGTGTATTAAACAACAAAGACAGATTTGTTACCTGTACGTTACAATGTGCAATAGAGGGTTAAGCTATCCAGCTTTCTCCTTTAATTTTGAGTTACACACTTTTATAATAACAAAAAAAAATATTTTTGAAAAATGCGTCAACTAAGAAAAACTCAATCTTAGCTAACAAGTAATTTCGCAACATGAATACTCACAGCGTCACAAAAGAGATATAAAGAAATGACGGCGTGGATCAGTGTCGTTACTGTTGTGCACAGTATCCATGGTAACAGAAGTAGCCTGCTATCCTAGAAGAGGTACTGTCGTTAGAACTCGTTCTGTAATTTTTTTTTTCTATTAAGAATTTGGGCTGTAAGTTCCTTAAAAGCTTTCTTGTGTCAAGATCTTTCACGAAATGAAAAGTTACAATCACTTTTCCGTGTTGAAAGAGACCAAACACACAGGAAAACCGCATAAAGCCCAAAGGGGTTATGTAACAATTTATAGGTAATATAAATAAAATACTTATGATAATATCCATTTCTTAATCGATATCTGTAAATAGACATATTGTCTCTAAGTAGTGGAAGGCAACGCGAATCTTTCAACAGTCAAAAAATAAAAATCGCTTATCATTCTTCATAAATGGTAGACCGCTACGAAAACACACTATTTTTCAAGAATATATCTATATTGAAAACCACACCATAAACCAGCAATTTTCAGACCCCAGACAGCACCAAAAACCACATATCAACCACCATAATTATAGGGCCGTTTTCAAAGGGCCATTTTCAATGCTCTTTTGTCCCCTCTAGTCTTAGACTGCTAAATTAGGGACGGCTAGCGCAGATAGCCCTCGTGTATCTTTGCGCGAAATTCAAAACAAACAAACAAAGGCAGCTAGTCATCACCACCCACCGCCAACTCTTGGGCTACTCTTTTACCAACGAATAGTGGGATTGACCGTCACATAATAACGCCCCCACGGCTGAAAAGGTGAGCATGTTTGGTGGGACGGGGATTCGAACTCGCGACCTGCAGATTGCGAGTCGAGCTCCCTAACCACCTGGCCATGCCGGGCCAAAGCTCTTTAATACACAATAAGAGTAGGCTTAATTGTAATCGTCTTCTCGCGACCCCATCGGCTGACGCAATGATCTGACATGAGGTCGCGACCCATAGTTTATCAACCTCTACATGAACAAAAGCTAAACAGTAGAATTTTAAACAATAGTAACTGTTCTCAAACTGTGGGTCGTGGGAGGTTCTAAAGGAGGTCGGGAAAGCGTTGAGCATTTGCAACAAATTTCTTTGAAGCTTCTTTTTCAAATTCAATACATGCAAATAGTTTTTCTTCATCTTCTCTACTTCTTCGCTATCTAGTTGTGCTACAGGGAAAGCATTTCAATTTTTTGTCATCTTATTTAGTATGGCCAAGTGGTTAGGGCGGATGACTCGCAATCTGAGGGTCGCGGGTTCGAATCCACGTCCCACCAAACATGCTCGCTCTTTCAGTCGTGGGAGCGTTATAATGTGACGGTCAATCTCACTATTCGGTGGTAAAAAGAGTAGCCCGAGAGTTAGCGGTGGGTGGGGATTACCAGCTTTCTTTCCTCTAGTCTTTCACAGCTAAATTAGGGACAGCTAACGCTGATAGCTCTCGTGTAGCTTTGCGCGAAATTCACACCAAACAAACAAATAAAAAACGTATCTAGTTTTATGTTTTTAAGCAAAGCCACACAATATCTATTTTGCACATAGCTGTCCATAGTGTTGAACTGATACGCTAGAAGGAAGGTAGCTAGTCAACAACACCCACCACCAAGTATTTGTTTCCTCTTATATGACCAAATAGTGGGATTTAACCGTTACTTTGTTAATGCAACCTCGGCTTCAATGTACGGAAGCTGGTTTTCTATTCTTTATTGTGGCAACGGGACGCAAAACATGAATTCTCAGATTCATATTTCGGGTAAATTAGTAAAAGGCAACACCCGGTCTTTCATTTTTGTTAGTATTGTACATGTTTTGTGATTGAGTGTTCTGATGTTATGGATTAATTTGATCATAAGCTGTATGTGTAGAACTATAATATTGTATTAGCGTTTTTCTTTTAATAAAGTCATTCATTCTCTGTTAATTTTTAGTTACTTGACAAATGGAGGTTCTAAATGTTCACCCTCACAAATTGGATCCCGAACCGAAAGAAGTTGATAACCCCTACCCTATGATATCCAGTTTTTCAAATGTTCATTGGTGTTAGTGCTAGAAAGAACTCCCCAACATTGTATAATCATCATCAAAACGTCTTGAAGTTAAATTTCACAAAGCATCCAAATTCATTTGCAAGGTAATTCGCTATCCCTATAGTTTATGTTGTATTATATTCACTGACTTTTACATACTTCCTGATCAAAAAAAGAAAACTTCTATGAACCTTGAAAACGAAATGTACATGGCAATTTTGGATATTACTAAATAATTTACTATTAATAGAAAAATGTTGTTTAGAAATGTGAAAACTACCTTTGTATCTTCCTCACACAATGATGATTGTTACAATTTTCTATACTTCTCAAACTAAATTATCCCTTTACTTTCTTCT